TTTGGCGTAGCCAAATTGTTAGAAGACTCCAGTGCAATGTTTCCTTTGATCCACAAAGGTTAGGATTGCTTGTGGTGTTGCCCTAAGTGTGCTCTAACATGGCTGTCGATGGGCTCTAAATAGAACATACATGTCCAGCATTCAACTACATTCATGAAGATCGAAATAGTCAAGAATCACACGCAAATCTGAAGACCTTGAAGGATAACAAATACAAGGAAATGAATAGAATGCAAGAAGGGCCAGAGTCGGCGTAATGAATGATGTCAGGTCATGTGAAATATGAAAAAAGATTGTTAGGAATTAATTGCTTGATTATTAATCATCCTCAATGACAACTTGCCCACCATATTTGTAAATCACTTCTTAGCGTTCTTGTCAAGTTCGTGTAGAGTTAGCTACCCAGAGCCACTAAGATAGAACCGAAGCTCATTTGTTCAAAGAGACCTTGAGCAAATCTTTTTTCATCTCTTTTCCCGACTCAGATTTTTGCAAATAAACCGGTTAATGAGACCAAAATTTCTTCAGCATTTCCTCTATGAAATGTTTTTAAGCTTTCCTGTTGATCTATCGGTTGATAATAAGTGTCTTTAAGAAGGTGCTCGAAACCGTTTCGACTTAACAGCTATGACTCCAATTGTATTTAGCGGTGTAATAGTGGACTGGAAGCCTCGAATACATCGTAAAAAACAAATATGTTACATTTGAGGAAAAACTCGGATATTACTGACAAAAGGATTTTTAATTTCATTTTATGAAGCAAAAAATTTCTTTTTTAGTTTATTTTCATGCGATCCGTCTTCGCATCTATTGTGCGAATCCCAGCACATACACATTCGATTCATTTCCTCATCTTCACCATCGACGAATGTCTTCCAACTTTCTGGCTTCGACTGTTGCTTGAGGATTATTTAAATTTCATCTCGAGTGTCGTAGAATGCTGGTCGAGTTGATTCTCACTGAATTCCTAAGATAGCCGGGCTAGATCGTTCCCAATTGGATTGCAGAGAGCGATTTTCTCCCGAAAAAGTTCGGTTCCAATTTGACGAACTCGGAAGGATGAGGGGCTTGGCGAAATCGAACCAACACCGTGCTCGTGATGAGCGCCATCACTACCAATGTGCCATCTGCTCCTTAATGAAGAGAAACTGCCGGTGAAATTAAAAATTAAACTGTATCAGGAAATTCCAGAAGCTTTTTCAAAAACTGCTTAACTTGATCGCTTTGAGCCGCCGTATATTTGCTGTGTTAAAAAACCCTGTCTGACATGATATGGCACTGTCGCACTACTTTCAAAAACTTGGTAGCGCTTTTCTTTCCAAAAGTTTTATTCAGCAGAAATACTCCATACTTTTTAATAGTTTCTTTTTGTGTGCTGTGTGGTCAACAAGACTTTTCGCATTTCTCTTCCTCTTAGTGGTTGCCGCTGATAGACGCGGACTGCCCTGCCCTCTTGGATTCGAATGTGACTATTTTCACTACAATGAGCCCAAGAAGGCAGAATTTGCTAAATTTGCAGTGTGTTCACGTAGTCGAACACATTGGTTCACTGTTGTAGGTACCTCGTCGAGATAGCTTTACTACTTAGAGTACACACTCATCCTCGTCTAATCCACGTATAGTTTGTTATTGTTTCGTCCCACTAGGCGACGCGTGTGGCGAAGTGGTTAGTGGCGTCCTGCAATACACAAGTGGGATTGATCCCCTCATCCATGGTTCACCAGGCCTTCCATCCCTCCGTGATCGGCAAATTGGTACCAGACTTGTCTGGGAAGGATAGCAGCACTGGCTCGTCATTATAAAGGCCAGATATGCATTCACCTCTAACGATGTTTAATGAAGTCGAATGGAATGCGCATCCCTCAGGGATTAATAAGAGGCGAGAGTTTTACCCTTTGTCCTTTATCCCATTGACTTCAGTGTACTTCATCTTCTATAAGAACTGTAAAAGGGAGATGTAAGATTCCTCTTGTGGGTCCGAAAATTTCATGTCTGCTAAAGCGAGTTTTTCCTAAAGCTCTTATTAAACATTTTATTGATAGGAAAATCTGAAATAGTATTATAAGGAGAGGACGGCTCAGCTAAACAGATAATCTCATCGAAAACAAGTTGATCAAGCAGTCAAATATTCGCTTTTGTACAAATTTAGGTCCAAAATCTAAACGTATATTTCATTGGGATGTCTAGAATGGAGTGATAAATTTCCAATGTATTCATCCACATATCCAGCATTAAATTGCCACTGAAATTTAAGGAATCGGTTACGGCTACCGTACTTATGATCATGTCACATAGCAAATCTATTACGACCAGTACTGTTTTCATTCCTTTTATTCTTATGCTCAAGTCTCCGATTACGATTTAATATAGAGATTTTCATAGTGGAACACAGCCGTGTGAACTTGGGAGAGCCTGCAGAAATTCTGAGTCATCTTATCGACGTTGGAAAGGAATTACTGTTGATGTTAGTTGCCTGTGAAAACTACTGGCGTTATGAAGGCGGTTAATTGATAAAGTCCTTAAGATAAGGCTGAGTAGATATCGGATTGGATACTTGGATGGCCCGTCCTCATTATTTGTGCGGGTCTCAATATATTGTCCATTTTTCGGAGTTTTGCTGGTTCAGCCATTGTTTTTCCTGGAGGCCCGAGGACAGGCTGGACAAAGTCTGCCCAATTTCTGTGACGTTTACGCCTTGTGAGACATGCAATACACGGCGGTAAACTAGTACTTAAGGAGATCATAGCAGAAGTGAAATGCTTGAAATTTGGCATCTACCAGGGTGTTCCTGTTTGGGCAGCTTGAAATGAAGTAGAGATGCTTGCCTGTCATAAAGTCGTCGCCATCGTTCTATATCGTTCATTCGACGATTTGATTTTTATCGATTTGTCATACAACCACACATTGGGAATGATGGAAATTGAGGTATAGCATGGAAATAGAGTATATCGCGCCATAGAAATTAATCGTATTGTATTGTTAAAGCGTTGTTGACGTTGTATGACTGATAGTTTCTCAATCGATGAAGAAAAAACACAGGAGTCTAAATCTTAAACGTTTTATTTAGTGCCTACTCTTTTTTTAATCGCAAGGTATATTGCGAAATAAGCTCCAGACCGCAGGTGTCTGTGGTGGGGAGCAAGCGCGCTATTGTTCTTTCCAGGAAGTAACGCTTTCACCACCACACCATGCGGGTTCTTCGTTTCTATAGAATTAGCTGAGAGACAAGCGAAACGGACCCGCATGGTCTGGTGGTGAACGCGCTACTCCCCGGAAAGGAAAATAGCGCGTCCGTTCCCCACCGCAGGCACCTGCGGTCCGGAGTTTTGCAAATATCTCGGCATCACAGGAGTCTAATTTATACCAACCTTACATTGAATATCGGAATTCAACGCTCACATGCATTTTCCCCTCTCTATTCAGAGACAAGACAAAGTTCTTTTGCCGCGGCAAGTTGAAAGTAAAGCAGTTGTAGAAAGCTTTAACGATTTAACAACGGATTCACGACTTGTCAAGAAGGACCATTACCACATGATTCTTTGCGAATCAGGATTTCCTAGTCCTGATTCTGAGGTCGTTGGAATTTCAGGAATTTCTAATTTTTTTTTTTTTTGAAAACATTAGGTTTCTTTGAGTAGGAATACTGTGGCGGAAGGATTTCTCGATCACATAATTCAGTGCGTATTTCTACCAACTGTATTCTTTTCTCTCCCAGCTCCTTGCATTTTGCCGTTTTCTTCTTTCTTAGGTGAATGCTTGATTAACCTACTGCAATAAACATTATCCAGCTTATAACAAAACTACGTGAGCTTATCGCTAAACCAAGGTCCTGTTTGAAAAATGGTTATTCGGATTCACTGTGTTCTATCTCCTAGTCCCACTGAGAGCTGCTGCCATATGTCGTCTCTTAGCAATTGTTCACAACCATTTTCCTCCTTAGCAAGTGTATTTTGTTGTGATCTGACGTTTTCTGTTCATTCTTTATTTCCTCTCTCTCCCTTTCTGGATTTACGTTATCCTGAACTTCCTGTTTTGTCTGAATTCGTCTTCTCATTTTTTCCTCCACAGTTTGGCCATTCTTACGTATAATCACAGGAATTCTTGGGCATGAATACTTTGGAACGATTTCATGAACCACCATAGAAAATTATTCCTTTAAGTCGTGAGAAATTGCGAAATAAGGTTTATGTAAGGCTGTTCTGACGTTAAGAATTTTTGTTTAGAACAAATCCAAAAGTGAATTGGAAATCGTCATGTAAACGAGATATTAGAAATGGACTCTTTCGTTTTCTTACTTAGCACCTAAACGTTGTTTCTATCTTCTCGAGGTGAATTTTTTGAAAAGCTTTTTTATCCCTGAACTTTTTAGGCCTTTTTTTTTTATAAAAAAACTAGCCACCTATTATCTGTTGCTGTAAACTAAACATTGTAGGTTACTTGGTTACACAAAACACAGTCTTATTTCGTTCTAAGATTCTCTGTCTAAAGAATTTCTATGTTTCTTTCTTAAAAATGAACACCAAGGAGTTTATTTTTATGTTTTTTCTTTTGTTTCTCGTTCTAGCAATACTCGCTGTTTACACTTCTGAGGACATGAAGTCTTCATAGTCATCCGCTACAATTTCCCAGATTTTGTCATGAACGAGTGCCTCATCACTGAAGTCTGCTAACTCCACTTTTTCATTTGTTGACATGGAACTATTAAAAGCGCATAGCGGACGAGTGCGGTTGTGACATGACACCCGTCAGCTGATGACAGAAATGTGAATGTATTTCGAGTCCGTTGTCCTGTCCTCGTTTCCTCACTAGTCATCTCTATCCATCGCATTCCAAGCATTCTTTGGCACGGCGCTCATTTTCTTGCTATTCGTGAGCTTGCTTCCGTGTCCTCGCAACACACACGCACACCTTTCTTGCTCGTAAGTGTAATTCGATGACCGGCACCTTTCGTTCGTGTTTGATGATGTCGTCTGTCGCGCAGGTCGCATGTCCTATGGACAATGATAATGACGAGTACGGTGCTGCCCATTCTGTGCCTGATGGACTGGCACTCGCCGAAGTGTCGTCTTAACGCGCCACCGCCACGGTTTGCGCCCAACTACGATGTGTCGAGAGCGCGCGCCGGCGAATTGGCGCGATCTCGCGCCAAATTCGCTGTTCAAACCGCGCACTCAGAGCGCCACTCAACTTATTTCACAGATTCAGCTTTTCTAGAGAGTACAGGCGATCAAATCGATGGTTCGTGATTTGAATTCTGAAGAGAATTTAGTGTAAAGAACGCAAAAGAAATTTGTAAAAACTTTCGAATTTACGGAGATGTTATGGAAAGATTGCTCATTACATTCTAGTTGGAATGGCTTCTAATGCTGTCATTTTTTCCATAGCGCTCGCACTTTAGCACTAGGTTTCTATTTTGGGAAAGGTTTCAGAAAGGAGGACATGCTTTGTAATACTTGCCATTCTTGTACACTTCCGTCGTTTGTCGGTATAGAAATACAGCAGTTATCAGGTTTTTTTTGAAGTTATAAAGAATGAATACAAGTTGGATGAAAATAAAAAATCGTGTATGACTGCCATGACAAATTCATGCACTTGAACCAGCACAAATACCGTCATGGAAGAAAAATCAGGAAATAATCATTATATGGTTGATGGAATACGAAATGAAAATTGTAAAGAAAATTCCTCAAACTTCGAATACAGAAGGGTACTTCGCATATGTGAAATTTGCAGGTTACTTGTGAACATTCCAATAGCTCTGAGTAGCTTTGTTTCCTTTTATCCAAATACCAAAAGTTGCTTTGAGGGTAACCCAAATATTTTCAGGATTCTTCACACCGATTCTGCCCACGGCTGTTAGCAGTCCCCGTCGTGCCGTACAGTCGAAGGGTGAGTGGACGTCGATTCGTCCTGTCACTGCCACCCAGTTAGTAACACCTGCACTCACCTCCACCATCTCCACCACCATCACCACCACCACATTATCAACAACCGCGCCCACCTCAGCAACCACCACCACATCTACTTTTAGAAAAACGGCTACGATAGTACCTTCCATCCACACAATTGACGAACCTCCACGGGTTATTTATCTTTCTGAGTATAACCTTAATTATGACGAGTTAGTCACCATGGTCACGAAACCTCTGGGACACACCACCCGGACAGTACCAAAAACAGCGACGGTACTTCTACGACCGTACGAAAGTGTCCATTTGGCCACTCGAAAGAACCCAGAATATCTAGGCGAAAGTATATGGGCCAGCATTGATCTGCTTCCCGAACCGATGGGTACTGGACTACCATCGAGAATGCGGATGCTTGAAAACACTACTCGTTCTTCCACAGTGACAACGACCCAGAAGTTCACAACAACGACGGCACAGAAGACACAGAAAATGTGGCAGCCGACTGAACAGCGTAGGAAAGCACTAACAACGACAATGAAGTCGACATTCGCTGGTTGGTGTTACTGCTTGTTTGCTGTGTTAGGATGCTTAGAAAGAATGAGTGTGACTGTGCGAGGTGATGGATGAAGGAAATCAATCGATCTATGTGTAGATAGTTCTTCAATTCACACTGACTATGTACTACTTCTAATATTTGCTATCGATTGGTTGGCTGTCCCGGTATGTCCGAGTGTGTGTGTCGCTCCTCACTTAGAGGTTTCGTTTCTATTGGTTCATCTTTAGTTTTTGCTTCATTATCTGTCTGCAAACTCGCTGTAGAATAATTCCAGCATGCCAGTTTTTCCCACTAAATAGTGGGTCCGTTGGAAAATTTCTCAGACAAATCAAAATTCTGATTTGCCGATGATTTAGCTAGCCATGCCCCTAGCATACCGCATCATTTCACCTATTAAAACTTGCCGTTTGTCGTTTTAATGCTTTTCAATCCTCTTTGAAAATCACTGACGCGAATCCACGCCACTGATGGCTTCCACTGGACCTGCACGTCTTTTCCAACGATCTACAAATTTTCTTATCTCTCCGTCATCAAATTCTATGCTTTTGAAACCCAACAAGTACTTGTCTTGGATTTGTCGCGGATACTCGAATCTTCATCGGCAGGGCTCCTTTCGGTATGTGCGTGGCGCTGTATGGAAGTTGTCGCTGATGATATTGGAGCTCGTTGCCAAAAAATTTTTGAAAGAAAGAAGAACGTTTATCTCGGAATTTCAAGAGTAACCGCCGTCAATCAGCGCGTCAGTGAGGGATCGTGATCCCGCTGGGGAACCAGTATGCCATTCTGTCCGGGGTTAAAATAGAGCGAGTAATATCCGTGATATGAAGATCCGCCACTTAAGTATTCAAGTTTAGTAGTGTATTCCCTTTAATTTCTGCTTACTTGAACTATTTTTCTTAGAAAAATGACTGTGCATCTAAGGTGTATTTTAATAATAGAACTTCTAAAATTATTACTATTTTGAATCGACTTCTGCTGCTTAGAATTTTTTCTGAAAACTCCAATATGGGGCGTTTTTTAGAAAGGCGACGTTCAAAAATTATTTTAAGCCTGGCATTTTAGTTATTATTGATTACTCTTGGTACATATTCTGTAACAAATTGATCGTACCCACCTCTTTCGACTTAAGTATTGCCATTACGATTTCTCAATCGCTTTTCAAGAAGAAAAATACTATTTACTTTCCTTACTTGACATAAAAAATAGGTGCATCACTGCTTTTCATGCTATTGGCTCTTTTACTAGAACTTTGGAGAGTTCATCTTCTTAATCGTGTCGTGCGCGCTTCAGCACAATTTTCACTAAATAGGTGTTTTTCCATACAGGTAAGACTTTTCACGAGATATCACGCTAGGACTTTTTAGGACATCACTTGTGCATTAACTTGGCCTTCCTGATCGGAAAAGAACTTTGCTACTGTGCAACTACGTCTTTTTCCAGGACGACGGCTATCCCTAGCACTAGTTCTTTTATCTAGGAGTGCTGAACTCGTTCTAGGCTTGAGAGATCCAACAGGATGCTAACCATTTTAACCATTTTTTCGCATTTGGGCACTCATGAATAGCACGTTCCAGCCGCCATAAGGTTGGAAAACCATTGGAAATAGCCACCAGTGCTTTAGTGTCGATTTCGGAAAACTTTTTTTTGAAATCTGTAACGAACTATAAACGCGTTGCTTTCTTTTTCATCAATCGCGAGGTTGTTATGCAGTATACGTTCTATTTAGTTCCAAACATAAAACACATGCAACAACAGTAGCTGACGTTTCGGCGCTATCGCTTTCTTCAGAGCCTGGAAGGATACAAACGGTATAAAAAGGATAAAGCTTTTGGTGCTGATCAATCCCTGACCGATGCGCCAAGCATTCGACTACATTAAGCATCGTTTGGAGGTGATTGAATGCATATCTAACCTTTACAATGACGCGCGGTGGCCTACCGATCTATCGAGCCAATGCTGCTATCCTCCCAGACAAATCTGGTACCAATTTGCCTACAACGAAGAGAAGGAAGGTTTGATGGGCCGTGGGCGCGGGGATCGATTCTACGTGTGTGCCGAAGAGCGCCTCCGAGCACAGCGCCGCACGCGTGGAAAGGTAGGTTGATATGCAATTTACTTCGCCAAGCACTTCAGTGACACATTCAGAAAGACGAAAATCTAAGCGGTAATCACATAGGCAATATATTCTCGAGAGACCCACCGTTTTTTACGTGCCTTCTACTGAGAAAGAACAGCTGATTAGAATTCAATGCCGAGGTTAATAGAAAGTCGATCCTAGGATCTGTACGTTACGCATTTTGTACAATGGTACGTGGCCGGAAATAAGTGCTCTACTATAAACGATTATAACTATGCTCATGAAAGGATGAAGGACAAAGCTCTCGGTGCTCATCGATTCCTGAGGTATGCGCTGAGCATTTGACTTCACCAGGCATCGTTTGAGGTGATTGAATGCACATGTGGTCTGTACAATGACTCGTGTTTGTCTACGGATCAATCTCTCAAGTTAGAGTTTATTTTCCAGACAAGTCTGCTGCCAACTGGCCAAATGCAGAGGGGTGGAAAGCTTGTTGGGGCAAAGGCGTAGGATCGGACCAACGAGCACGTGTGCACTGCAGTGCGTCTCTAACCACTATGCTACACGCGCCTTATATCACCTAATAGTGAACATTATTTATGAAGATGAAAACTTTTGTAGCTTGCGTTTTTTCCAAAACGACAATTTCCACCATTCTAACAAAGAGGAATTCTGATTTGATGAAACATCCCAGAAGTTTTTTTCTCGTCAAAGCTGAAATGAGCAGTTGGGATTCCGCCGAACAGGACGTTATGGTGTCCCCTATGTGCCTTGATGGATGTTTGCTGCTGCCTCCTTTTCGTAAACGTTTTTAAAAACAGCTATCTCGCTTTAATTTCGACTTTAAACAGATTTCAAATCGAAGGGACATTCCATAAAAACTACCTATATATCCAGCACGATAGAGCAAAGCCTATTCTACAAGCCTATCACATTTTTAACTCTTCAACCACTCTAGCTACGGAACAACTATAGGCGGTTATCGAGAAACCAGCATCGGACATTATGGGTTAAAAGAAAGAGAAAGTATAGCAAAACAGTGTCGAATTTCGAACCTTACTCAACATTTCTCACGCAATCTGTGGTTTTCGGGAGACAGTGTGAAAACATTCGTGCATTATTGGGTAGTTGTTAGGGCGCTGAGTAAAGCCCTATGATCAATGTCGTAGTCGAATATTCAGGAAAATGATGGAAGTGCGTGGAAAGAGGAATTTCTTTGAATGCAACAATGGCCGAAACACCTGAATGCACCCTATGTCACTCTTCTAGTCTTTGGGGGGGTGGAGGGAATCTAAAAAACTCAGAAATTTTGTGGTTGATGGGATTTTAGAGGAACATATTGTCTCATATATTTAAAAATAAACTACAAAGCCTCAAAACTGAGTACCTCGTTCAGTTTTCACCACACAGTTTTTCGTACTTACACTTGAAACTCCAATATAAACATAGGCCTTTAATTCGACCAAATTTATACTATGCTTCTACAATCACTTAGTGTCTACGTTTTAGGTAGCTTTGCTCCTTACCCGTTTTGTTGGAACTAACCAGTCAAAGGCGGAAATCTGACCCTTCCATTTGAAGGTTTCTAACGTTTTTCCAATAGGCTTTATAGGTTCTCAAAACATGGTCGCACAGCCATCGTTTTTTATAAATTCGATTTATTACCTCTAACTCCGTTCATAAATCGCTCAGAATGGATCTAACGGTTTTTCTACGTCGACAATTCCTGTGAGTGCTACGCCAATATTTTCTCAGTGACTTCTGTTCAAATTATAGCCAATATTTGCGATAGCCTGACATACCAGCCTTCACCATTGATTTAGGCACCATACAGCTGCCAACGGCCATTCTCTACCCTTTTTCAGATTGAGCTTCATTCTTCAATCTTTAAGAATATAAGAACTGAAATCTGTGGTTTAGGCTTCATAGAGCGCAATTTGTTACAACTGAGCCAAATCGCACCACACTTCCGGCAATTCGGTCTCTTCCGCACCTTTGAAATGCCACCACACCTCTTTCAAAAACCCACAACCCTCTCATTTTCTTATCTTTACATCTCCAATGAGTGAGAAAGATTAGCTTCCTACAACGCCGTCACTACATCAGTTTCAAATTGCAATCGTGTTGTTTTCCTGTCCCTCGGTTATCGACTGAACACAACGAATTTATCTAGACGACCTTTTTTCTCTTTATTACAGTGAAACACCGCCTTAGTTCATGAATGAAAAAGTTGGCGTCCGCTTACTTATTTTTCCTTCAAATTCATATGGATTTCTCTAACCAAGTAAGGGAAGAGTATTTGTTTTGGTACCACAAAGAGTATACAAAAACGGCTGCCTTAATTTCTGATGGATAGCAATGATTTTATCCTGTTACTGCAGTTCACTTAACTCGTGTTAAAGCTCGTCGACGGCTTATCCTAAAAAAAGTAGAACGAATTATGGTTAGTGATCTTCGTGGCAAATCTTATTATCAAAATTTTTTTTTGTTATAAATGGTTCGATGAATTCGTGAAATCGTCGGATTATTAGTCTTGTCGTTGTAAGTATGGCCTCTTACTTAAGCGTTTTCGATTTGGATTCACTTCACTGCTAACTGGTAATTCGTTTGGACACATTGTCCAACTCAGAAACACCAATTTCGAATTACTTTGTAGAAAACTTTACGCAGAACTCTTTTTTATGAGTTCTTCACTTGGTCATCTGTTCTCATCATGATCCAAAACAGTTTTCGTATTTCCAGTACTGCACACTTCTGACTTCACTCCAGGTAAAATCGCCTTGGGCATCCATTTAGAGGAAGTACAACGGAATTAGTTGTCGTTGGTGTCCAACAGAAACACAGCACTAATCGAACTGCAGAAGTGCTCGGAAGCTCGGATGTTGGCACCAGGACAACAGCAGCCGTTTCTTGTCCCAGCACTTTGTCGTCGAATGAAGGCAGGCGGCGTGTCGACGAGGGTGTTTATTGCATAGCGCCGACTCAAAAGACAATCACATCTCGCCCTTAACGTACTCGTTCTGAAGAACGTTCATCACATTTTTATTCAACCAACATGCGGGCAACTGACACTGAAGAGCAGCTTTTATTTACTTTTATTACATTCGATTTAATCTTTACATTTCTATTGCTTAAAGCAGTAATCTTCAGTCGTTTGGAATTTATAAGCACTTAAAAACATCACTTTTCATATGGCGGGTGCATATAGTTGTTTGAGCTCATTTCTCATTACATCTAACGTTTTGCGTTTTCAACTATTTGTATTCTGCAGTAATTCTGCAGCACACGCTTATCATTATGGGTACGGTGATGCTTCGATCCCACTGTTTCCATCAAGCCTCACATTCCTCCGGGGTTGGGGCACTGGTGCCGTACTTGGCTGGAAAAATTTACCCTCAGATTCAATTGGAATGCTCCAGCTGGGCTATCTCAGAGCTCCTGAGAGAATCGACTCAACCAGCACTCTACGACATTCAAGATGAGATGAAAAAATTTTCAAGCAGCAGGCGAAGCCACAAGTAAAAGGTGGAAGGCCTTCGTGGATGGTGAATGCGAGGAAACGAATCGAATGCAAGAAATGCTCAGGTCCGCACAATAGATTTGATAGACGGGATGCATGAAATAAAATTAAAAAATACAGCTTAATATTTACACTGTTTGTCTTCATATGTTGTTGGAGTCCTAGCAATTCGTGCATTCGTTTCGTTATCTTATAACGTTAGATAGGGTGGATGAGTTTCTGCGTGATTTTTACTCTCACTTAAGCATCTGTAATCTCTGATTTTGCTTGACATGTTGGACTCTGGTTGAATGTGATTTCTTCTCCAATCCCGAAATATCAGTGCCAGAATGTTTCCAAGTTTTCAACACGGGCACTGACAAACACTTGTGAGTCGGAGGGTTGTTACTAACTTGCGACCAGGATTCCAAGAGTGCAACCATTTCGGGGATTATGCAATAAGTTTTACCAAATTACTATTCGAGGAGGATGAAAAAATCTAAATGAGTTGCTGGAATAAATTACCGAAGTCAAATACCAACTTACCCGAACCATCGATTCCTGGCCATTTTCATGACGATGGTCGCATTTGTCACCGATACTGGTTGTGTTCATCTTTTGGTTGCGAAGTAGAGAGCCTTATTTCAATAGACTTAGCACTGGTTAACTATCCACACTTCCAATGCACATGGGTTTGAAGTTATCAAATTATTTCATTGCGCTGGCTTTTGTTGTTTTTTCTACATGGGAACCTTAAAGTGCTTCAGCAATATCATAGTGGGTGTGTTCTTCTGAAATATTACAGTGGATGTGCTCTTCTGAAATATCACAGTGGATGTTCTCTTCTGAAACTTTTCGTTAGTTCCCTTATTATTTTGCCTGGGTTAGGAAAAAGAGCACTTGCTCATTTAGCCCATTTTATGAAATGTGAGCATTGCTTCTCGATGCAGAGGTTTTTTGTTCAACTACATGGAATCCCAAGTGAGGATCCTTAAGAAATAAATTTTCGCATTACTGCCTTCGTAATGGTTTCTCCCGGATTCTACTCTGTGTCCTCATTGCCTTCCTAAGATGATTCTACTTGTCCTCCTTCTATAACTTTTGATTTGAAGCACTTCTTCACAAAAACAGGTCTGGATCGTCAATCTTCTTCCATGAGTCTTCCTTGTGTGACAAGATAAAAGCTTATCTTGAATAGAAGCGTTTTTTAGAATTCCTTTCTAGGAAGAATTTCATGCGAAATAACGTGGTCAAAAATAACTCTCGTTTTTCATGCAGTTCTTCAGTATAACGGCTTCATGCGATATATAGGGCAGTATATTTCTAATAGCAGTGGGTAAATCAACATCCGCACCTGCTTATTGTTATAACTAATGAATTTACATGGCTTACCACTCCACTTGTACCACTTGTAGGAATAATAAACTAACGTGGATGAGAAAAATAACGAGAGACCTGAAACCAACCTTAAAAAAACGGGGTTCTCAGAATTTTAGATCATGCGTGAAAAATCTGTGTATGTATGTATTCATGTATGTGTGTGTGCATGCATGAATGGATGGACGGATATGCGTGCATACGTGCGTTATGAGTCTGTGTCTGCTTATGCCAAGGCGAATAGTTTTTAGCAGCTTCCATTACCCAGCACGTATCCAAGTGCAGATTTTGTCTTAATTGCTTGTAGGCAGGTTTCTAGTCTGCTTGATCTTGTCGCTTTTTTAGACAAATCGACAGCTGTTACCTTCAGCAGCTTTCTGTCAGCGACGACCACCAAGCTGGCCAAATCACGTACGGCACCTTCGTTTACTGTATACCCGGTCCGTCCGACGACGCCTATGGGCGACCTGATCACTACCACTATGAAGGTATTCACTTCTTCAATCCAATTGTCTATGTATGTGGTAATATTGCAGTATTTACAAGCCTTATTCTTAGTTATGCATTATAATTTAAACGTTCTATGAGATAGTGCATTGGACCAGTTTTCAGTTTCGCTTCAAAGATGTGTTCTCAATCTCTTTCTGAATTCATATACATCCATCTCAACAATTTCTAGTCACCAGAAACTATGCTCTTAAGACAGCAAAAAAGGAATGAACTGCTGTAGACTGTTTCTTCTCCGACGTTTGTCTTTAGTCACCAGCATGGCGGCTCAAACCCTCATTTGCTTGTTGGTTTTTAAAAATGTGAGAACCGTTCCATCATTAGATATGATATTTGGAGGCACCAGAATTTATCACATTCATGTTAAAGAGACCAGAATCTTGGGAACGCAGATTTTAAGGAAACCTTTATTAGGAAACGATTGAAGACATTGTTCTGGATTAAGTAGTTTCTAAATTTTTAAATTTTTTAAAACTTCGCTGCAACCTCGTGTTGCCTTAATATTTCAAAAATACTGGGAAATTGTCTTGTAACTGGTGGTTATTCTGAGGATTTCTACTGATAGTTTGGTTGACAACATTGCCTTTATTACAGCCTTCTTGCTGAATGCATGCTTTGCTTGTGTAAAGTTAGTTAATAATCAAGCCAGGTAGTAAAATATAGCAGTATTATGGCTGTCAAAGCCGTTTTAGACCTGGCGGCAAAGAAGTGAAAAACTAATTTCATTTACGAGGAGAGCATTCGGTAAAATTGATAACATGTCATCATTTATCCGATCAAGACGGATGCTCAGTACGAAAACATCGTGAGGAAATCAATCACTGCAAGCAGTTTTTTGTTCAATCCTTTTTTTTTCTAACAGTATTGTCAAAAAAAAATGGCGGTATGTCGCTTCTATAGTATTCAAGGCATTTCTTGCCTCTGATCAAGAGCAATACTTGATGGCCACCTGCGAGTCAAGCCAGAGGAAACCTAAGCTGTACGTGTGGTTCTGGGTTTGGGCGCGTGTGGCGCAGTGGTTGGAGCCGCCCTGCAACACACCCATTGGAACGATCCTCGCGCCCACGGCTCACCAAGCTTTCCATCTTTCCGGGATTGGCATATTGATACCAAACTTGTTTTGGAGGATGGCCAGCACTGTCTCGATACGTCGGTAGGCACCGCGAGTCATTGTAAAGGCAAGATGTGCATTTAATCACCTCCAAACGATCCTTAATGAAGTCGAATGCAAGGCGCGTCCCTCAGGGATTGGTCAACGCCAAAAGCTTTACCCTTTTAGCTTTTACTTGTGGTTCTTCATACCTCGGCAGATAACTCGACTGGTCGTGCGTGTAAACACAGCTTCTAAACAAAAGCCATAGGTATTTTCGACGGTCGATTCAACAGCGGAAGGCGTGCCGCAAACGCCTTGTCGACATCGCGTCGGCGACTCGTCCGTGTTTTCCTCTCAGACAGCAGATGTTGAACAATTCCTGAAGCGCCGAACAATTCCACGACTTTCCGCTTCGTTTACCTTTCTTTCGTAAGGAAGAAAAAACCTTTCTGCGTTAATGCAGATAACTACAGTGTGTGGGAGTTTCATCGTTAATGAAGGAATAGGTAAGACTGCCTCAATTTCATGAAAGCAGAATGATGAGAATAAAATCGATTTTGTTTAAATTTTCGTTTTCAATGAGGAATAAAGCTAATAGAAATAAACTCAAATGGTCGATTTTCTATAAACGACGCCATAAATAATCGATATATCTATATGCATACGTTCTTACGAACTGCCTTTGTTTAGCTGAGGCGAGGTTGGTATAGATGTTCTCATTGTTGTTGTTGTTGTTGTTGTTGTTGCTCGATGGCTGACGTTTCGACAACTTCCCCTTTTCAAAGGACGTGTTACATGTAACAATAGCCATATTTCGGTGAAATCTATGAAATTAACAGAGATTCAGCATATAGATAAACCTCAATTTTCCAAAAAAAAAACACTTGCCGTACTGCTAGACCATCCCTGTGTTGCGTACGGGAGATGATGGGTGAGACCCACCCATGGGGCTGTTTATCGAAAAACCATTCTAAGATAAGGTGCCATATCACCTGTAGCAGTGAGGGTTTCGCCTTTCTGATTCATCCATGGGCTTTTGAAATTTATCCGAAACTCCTCAAGAGTCCTGTGCGTTGTTGTTTTTGATTTCTGCGTTAGGGTACAGACAGTCACTTCAAAATCGTCACCATTGTACTTTTGTGCCCTACATGTATCTAGGGGAGTGCTTTAGCGAATTTTATATTTCCCATTTAGATGTTCTTTTATGCAGGCACAAAGTGGTCTATCCGTTTCTTTAATGCCTTCTTCACCGCAAGCCTTAAATGAGAGCAAGTATATTGTACCTGAACGCATGCAATCCCTTTCTCATCCGTTAGGACAGATCACACAATTTTCTGAGCTGCACAAACGATCATAGAGGCGGCTGTGAATAACTGTTAGCGCAGGGTATTGGGAGGGAGGTCAATAACTGCCACATAACTTTCAAGACCACTTTTCCCAAGACACCTCTTAATAGCGTAAAATATTTCGTACGGTATAAAGGGTAGTTTAAAAGGGGTTTTATTCATGTTTTAAACATTATTTTGGGGTATAACTCTACCTTTTGCTGGATCCATAGTGCCCAATCTGGCCTCTATTAATAACAATAATAGAAAAGAAAGCAGTGATTTTCACTAGGTTACGAGAATTACATCTGAAAGTTGTTACAGTACGTCAGTTGTGATAAGAGTGGAACCGTTATACTTGAAGTTAAACATAAATTGCATCAATAAATGTGTCGTTTTCTTTTCAACAATCACGGGGTTATTATTCAGCACACGTTTACTTCCATACAAATAGAACACATACAACACAGCAGTAGCTGACGTTTCGGCAGTTTCGCCATCTTCAGAACTACTTTTTTTCACCTGTCTTCCACACCGAGGAAGAACAGCTGTTCAGAGTCGCATATGGTTGATAAATTGTATCGGTTCACTCCGCACTTCCTCCAGCCCATAATTTACTTTATCCTGTTTTTTTTAAAGAAATCTGTCTCATACGATCTAGTCAGAATCATCGGCGCAATTCAGTAATTCTTTTATTGTTAGTCTTCTGTAGAAATAGTGACGGGTTTTGACCAGTCTTTCTGCTTCGCTACAACTTATCTCGAATAAACCCAGCTTTATGGGTTGTAGTAAAAAGCATTAGAATGTACATATTTTCTTCAGCCAAGTGCATACAGTGCTGAAATCCTGAAGTGATGAATTTCTGGAAGGGGTTTTCAGCAGATGTTTAGTTGTTGAACATTTTCTCAGCAAGTAATTGTCGAGTTGCGTGAAAAATTAGCACTCAATTGCTGTTGAATACATGGGTCTGTTGAATATATGGATGGACCAAACTTCTGTGACTTTATTCGTTAAGCTTTCGCAAGGAGCGCTCGAAAATTGTCAAAAATAAGATCCTCTTTTACCAATGTCAAAGTTTTGGGAAATAGCTGGCGGTTCATAGATTAGACTGAATTCATCCACTGCAAATAATGACGAATAATGTTTGGTCTCATATGTTTTCCGGTTGTCAGGAAACAATCCACACTAACTGACACGAATTCCTTCATTAGTTTCCGAATCAGCCTAGGATAAAGAGCTCAGCGTTGATCATGCATTTAAGGAAACATTCGATGCCATTAAACATCGTAGAGATGATGATATCATGCCAGTTTGCCATACGGAATAACTTGAGCTGGCAAACTGACATGTCAAGTTAGTACCTTTATCCTTTCAGGAAAGTCTGGCGTAAAGTCACCAACCCTAAAAGGATGGAAGTTTGGTTTGTCCGGCTACGGTATCGGATTGACGAATGTCTGCATCTCATAGTACCAGATTACGGGAATTTTTGGTGCACTTGTTAGCTTTTTCAGCCCTTCCATTGCTGGGATCGTCCCCTCATCATTTAAAAAGCAGTGATGGAGTAAAGAATCGTTCGTGGATTAACGGACGTCCACCGTAACCTGATTTTGCTTTATATTCGACTTTGGAGAGTATGCTTCATACAAGCACAAACACTGTTCTGAAGATAGTCGATTCAAATTCTCCATCATAATGTATTCTTATATGCGTAAAAATCAAAAAATGTCAACAAATTTCCATCTCTAAGGTTTCTTCATATCATCACGATGACTGATAAAACGCTCATTATTTCCGCTGGCCACATATTCTGAACGCTAAATTTACATAGCCTTGGAACAAAAATTTCTTCTTAGGCCAAGTGGAAAACACCGTGGGTATGAATAATACCTTCTGCCTTCGAGCCTGGAGAATTCCAGCGTTTTCTCCCCTTTCCTTCCATCAATAATCCTTCTACCTTGCTTAGTCGTCTTTCTCTGAATTCATAAAACCACCAAGAAGATGCTCAGAGCTGGAGACTGTGGAAATTATGGAAGTAGTATGTCGAGACCCGAACTCGTTTATAGTATTAATTCATCAATGCGCTCAAGAAAAACTCTACGAATCCGTTCTGGCAGTAGTGTTATTACGCTGGGCCAATCGAGTTTATGAGTTTTCGTGAGCCGCCGTGGAATGTCATTAGGCGAACGTATTGCTGGCAATTTGGCCACTTTGATTGTTCCGAAAAAGAACACAAATCTTATTCCGGCCATTTTATTGTAGATGTGGAAGTGTGAGGAACGATCATACTGAAGTACTATGAAGAGCGACTGCGTGTCTAGATCATTTTCATTTTCCGTTCGCAAACTTTTTTACCAACTACCGTAAATTTCTCGCTTTTTTTTTGAAGAACGCTGAACAGAAGGTAACCTTGGTCATGAAGAGAAAGGTGGAAAAGGGATACGACGAGTGACTTTTCGATATTGGTTACCGAGCACGATCGAAGGTCAGAAATTTCGAAAGTAGTGCTTATAGATCAAAAAATTTCGGAAGTGATCGATAAAGGTGAAGGTGAATCCAAGCAATTTAAGTGCAATGTTGCCCATTAATCTGAAATATTGGGAAACTTCTTTTTTGAATCAATCCCTTTCTAACACAATTGCTTAACGTTGTTGGAGCTGGTGCTGCAAAATCTTCAAAAAAGTTTCTAATTTTGTGCTTAAATAGGACTGTCGGTGTGGTTTTCCAGAACTATCTCGTTATAGGTGTCGGAGACGGCCGACTTCCCGCGAACGGCGCTGATCAGCATCGCATCGGTGTCGGTGATCATGATCATCGCCGTTGTCGTCTTCTGCGTGTTTCGCTGCCGTCAAAATCCACCACCCACTGATCACTATCCAATGGTTTGTGGAAGTTACATAAGCACCAATAGATCCACGATTTTATGAGTCACATGTGACTCATTCGTACCAGGAATATCTTAGCTCTTCATCTTTAAACAAGCATGGGTCTGATCATTTTCAACTTTATTAATTGAAATATAAGAAACTTTAGAAGCTGACGCTTTTGCCCAGCAACGCATAAGTTTTCTTTTTCTTTCGATGCGTTGGGGTTCCGTTTTTGCTCAGCTTAAAAGTCTTTTTTTTCTTGGGTTTTTTTTCCGTCGAGGGTCGTATTTCGAACGGCACAGGATGTCATTCTTTGCAGCAGCTGCTCTTTCGCTGAAAATTATCAGAATTTATATATTTATATTATTTATTACGTATTGTGCGATATTTACACCTATATTTTCGAATTTTTGAAAATACGATCTTTAGGAAAATCTGGATTCACTATAAAATCCCAGAGAAATTACGAAAAGCTAAGAGCCATAGGGCAATGTTTCTTCTACAATTCTACGAAGTCCTCAAATTCCCGAGCACTTAACTTGTCGGAAGACCGGCGCACTGATGATTTTTTAAAACGTCTCTTCGTAATCTTTTAGAGAAAGCTTTTTCGTATCAGCCAGTTAAACGTCACACATAAGTTTCAGTTGTTCTGTAAGGATCAAAAGGCCTTCGACACTGACTTGATTCGGACTTTGTTTTACGGTAATTCTACATGTACGCAAATGAAGACACCTATCTCACTGGGAACAATCGCAATTTTTAAAATTCTGGTTATCAATTAAAGTTTAAAAGTTCAATTTTTATGTGACCCTTACCGCCCACATGTTAGTGCGTTCGTACTTTTTAGGTATAAAAATTTTACAAGATAGAAATATTAAGACCTGACATTTTTGTAGCAGTGTTCCGAATATAATTTTACTTTTAACATTTAATTACTTCTAATTTGTTTATTTCATGTAATACCCTGCCATGAAAAATAATAGACAATAGATGAAAAGTTGTACATTTTGATTTCACCTAAAGCCTCATCTTAACTGGGTTCAATGCCGATTTTGCTCCTCAGGTCATTCCCGTTGACGGGTGATTGTTGATGACATCGTTAGGGTAAACTTTAGAAACTGGCTGAGAGAACGGCAAACCAAGGGCCTCGATGGTGCAGTGGCACGTGGGCCCCATAAAGGGTGTTTCTGGTTCAAATCTGGCCTGGTGTCTGGGTTTTCCATATCTCTCTGCACCATTGTGGTTGTATTTCACATAGTACCTTGCTATGTAAAATAACAGACAATAAGTGAAAAGTATACATTGGTATTTCGGGTTCACTGCACTTCTAACATATTTGCTACAACGTCTGATTTCTAGTAGCCAGTCCAAGGGACCACGCCTTGCTTTCGGCTGTTACGAAATTGTTGTTTTTTCAACGACAAGTAGGCGACGTTTTCTCAATAACTAGAGGACTTGAGGGATTGCGAGCATAACGTGATTGTAGAAGGGACTTTGCTCTATCGCTCTATAGAGATGAATGGTACCAATTAATCAATAATCAATTTAAGCTTGTCAAAGAAAGAATGCGTATTGATTAGTCATAGCAAGGTTAAAGGAGAGTTGATTCTGAAATATGAATGGTATGTATTCTATTATTTACTGCATCTACAATACTCCGTCATGCACACACATTAATGTCAGCATTTGCAAGATTTTGCAGTTTACGTTGGGTCTTCTTCCGAATTTTTCGTATTTCATGAGATAAATATGACTCCTAACTATTAGATTTTACTCGACGTTCAATTGCGAGTCAAATTGCCTTTCAATGGACTTGTTCAAGAAAAGCTTCTTTGAATGTTTCTGAACGCAGGAAGGAGCTTTTCCCATTTGACACCCACTATACATCTTAGTTGAGCAAGTTATCGATCACAAGAAAATGTAGAAAAAACCTTCTTTGCGCAAAATTGAACTAATGTAGATAAAATGGCCGCTAAAGAGGTCATACCGGTCGCAACGTCCCATTACAAACGGCAACTATAGAAGTCACATCGTCGCCAATGTGTTCATTTGCATTGGTTAAAGGGGTACTTATCGCTCTCGTGCTGTTTCGCTTTTCTCTCTCCGGTTTTTGTATCAAAAGCGTTCTCACTGAATTATCCTGTCTGAAAATATGGTTATGTACGAAGTTGTCGTTAAACGATATTTTGTGAGAACACGTTGCTCAAACAGTTTCAAAACGTTATCAGTCTTTCTTTTCGTTAACCGAAAAATGTTCTTCATAACTGATATCTTTGAGCATCTACATTGAAACAAAGCAAAATGAACGCAAGGTAAGGAGCAAAAAATGACTGATACATCTTCAGATGTGTAACGGCAAGACACAGCAGGGCTACACATCCATAGCGCCGGAGCTGTCGCCGCCGCCGCCAGGTGCCGACCACGCCACGCAGCCGCTGCTCGGAAGACCGGCACTGCAGGCGAGTTTGTCGCCATGTTCTGAAGGAGTTCCAAGCAGGACCGCTAACTGTTGAACTGGTTTAGAAGTGAATACATATCGTATGATAGTTACTGATATTGACGATAATACGTGCAGCAGTTGTGGTTTGTAAAATGAAAAATTAGCTATCGAACTAAAACTTCTTAATATCAACAGCCGAAGATGTGTAGTGATTTGAATTCAAAGGTCTTCGTTTTTCTAGCTTCTATCTCATGTTGTCGTAGTGAAGCGATTTACTTCGCATTAGAGCACTCCATTATTAGCATGACCTAATTGCACTTAAATAGTGAATAACTAAAGAGATTCGAAATGCTGAAGTTTCACTGGATTTCTTGGCGGGCAAGATCTGTTTCAAAGTCTTCGACTCTTTCTTTGGCTGATTTTCAGGTTGGTAGAACTCTTGGTAATAAGGATTGATAACCGTTTAAAATATAATGACTATGAATAATTTTGTTCGGCGGCCGCTCAGGACTACGTCAAATTTTTCGCCGCACGTTGTGTTCGTTGAACAACTTTGTCAGAAAAACTTGCCTTGTAGATCACTGGGCATAGAAACTAACCTTTCACTGGCGATGTCTAGCACGACGTCTATATTGGATATGCTATTGATCGAATGCAAAAATATAAGTAAGCTGTTTACTGCAAAATAGGCGAAGAAGATGTGTCGAAACCAATGCAAATCGTCCACTCCACTCACCACTGTATGCATTGGTGTCAATTCACAAGTTCATTTGATTTTGTTTAGGTGAACGGAAGTGGCTATCAATCAATGAAAGGAGCTGGTATCATAACGAATAACAATGTAATAAACGGACATACCAGAAATGGTGGAGTCGGGAAAAAGGATTTTAAGGAGTGGTATGTATAGTTTGGTGACGACATCACTTCTGGATGTTTTCACTGCCTTTTTTTCACTGCTTGAACCCAGCGGTTGTGAAGAAGTTTTCGTTTCTATCGACAATGAGCTTCTTTCAAATTGTCTTTTTTGCACTCATTTAACCTCTTCCGTTGTAATTCATCGTTTTTACTGTATCGTGTGTTCGAAACACCTGAAGTCAAGGCTTTAATGTGTACAGATGTCCCATGGTTTGCTTACTGATTTACTTAAGATGTATGACGGGTAATGCTTGTTCAGGAATCCGCTTGAGTTTTTATGTTCTTTATACTTCACTTGTTTCCTATCCTTCTTTTTCCTATTCGCCTGTAATATTTTCTCTTGTTGTTTTCGTTCACTATGCGCATTTATCCATTTCAACCGTTTACGGACTTTCCATGGTACCGTACCTTTCAAGCAATGATCTGGAGACTTCTTCTTGATCTCAACAAGCCAATATCCAGGATCTCTCTTTTCTTCTTCATGTTTCGCTTTCAATAAATATTCATGAAGTAGTGATAACTTTCGACGTATATGATTTAATACTGGAAATCTTTTATTGTGAACAGCGTTATAAAATAACATGTCTTTCTCTATTTAAATGCAAATAAAATAATTGTAATGATGATTCGATGTTTTTCTTCAATAAGCAGACACGAGGTTGTTATTATAGAATTTATTAGGATACAATAGCTGACGCTTCGGCGGTATCGCCTTCTTCAGAGCCTGGAAAGGTCAAATTGAGATGTGATCTATTCAGGCAAACACTTTCATAACCCTAGCAGATAAAACTTAACAAATAAATTTGTATTCGCATAAGAAACAGCTTCATCTAAACACCTACCGTTTATTTGTTGTAAGTATTTAAGTTAGTTGGTGGATAGCAGCCGCACAGAGTAATACATGGGCGAGGACTGTGTCTGTGTCAGGTCATTGGATTAGCCTGAGGTATGGCGTAATTGTAATGATGTGCTCTTACTGTAATACTTCCCATTGAAACGGCATAAAGCTGACGATAATGCGGTCTCTGTGAGAACAATAGAGATTGTCGAAAGCCGTTAAAGCCGTTAAACCGTTAAAACTGAAGAGCTAAATTTTTTTAAATAAAAAGCGTGCAACATTTGCATGAATTAAATTCGTTATAAGTTGTAAAAATAGCTCTCCAGTTAACCTAGTAAGTTGCGTATCAGCGTACCCTTCCAGGCGCTGAAGAAGGTGATACTGCCGAAACGTCAGCTACCGTCGTGTTGTATGTGTTCTATGTGTATGGAAGTAAACGTATGCCATCTAACAACCTTGCAATTGCTGAGAAAGAAAACGAGGAATTTATAATCCAACGGCGAGGTTAATGGAAAATCGATCTTGAGAACTATGTTCAGTTATATTTATTTATGTGATCTTATAAACTGATCTTATTAAGCTGACGCGAGGTTAGTACATATCTTCGTTCCGCACGTAACATCACGGCTCTGAGGAAGGCGAAGTCGCCGAGACGTCAGCCATCGATCAATAACATCAAAAACAACGACAACGACAACGAAGATCTGTACCAACCTCGCGTCAGCTTAAGAGGATCAGTTTATAAGATCACATAAATAAATATATCAACTACCTATGCCGAGGTTTATAGAAAGTCGGTCTTTCGAGTTATGTCCAGTTAACATTAGAGTTCCCACAATGTTAACTTTTTATTTACTGGCTGTATCTCGACTAGTTTTCTATCTAGGAGTGCCATCAGCAATCACACGTCAACGGGCAGATAGAAAACTAGCTGAAAGAAAGGCGAAACGAATGACCCGCATTATGTGGTGGTGAACGCATTAGTCCCGGAAAGCGTGATAACGTGTTCGATCCAGAAACCAGTTTTTAAGCAGCTAAAAAATTGATGAATATATTGTAAGTATTATAAATAGCATTTGGATACTGGGCGAAGTCGGAAAACGAAGACGTCGAAACTTCAGCCGAAAAAACTTCGTATTACCAATCGCCTGTTAGCTCCCAAGGTTAAAGGAAAGCCGGTTTGTGAAGTATGAAGGAGGACTTTTCCATAGATTAGCAGCAAAGTTCGCAAGTTTTCAAATACTCTAATGATGGAGAAATTCTTTTTTCTTGTCTAGAAACCTGCTTCGTTGCGAGCGTGTTTAACACGCATATAGTTCAAAGTGATATTAATTAACTCTAATGAAGCCTCTTTCTTTCTCTACTGCGTATAAAACACTTGTTCATCTTACGCGGTGAAAGTCTGACCATCTGTAACAAACAATTTCTTCTTTTTGCCCTTTTTTTAGTGATGTCTTAGACTGCAAATAGTAATCGTCGAACTTGCGGCGCCGATGCCAAAAATGCTCTGAGCTTTAGGTTCTCAACAACTGCAGTTTTCAAAAAATTGTCTTCAGCAGTTTTAAACCATTGGTTCAACGTGATGTTCGGAAACCTTCTAGCTGGAGAAGGTCCCAGAGGGTTTCAGCTTTATCGAAGGACATCGCGATGGTGTGGACTCCTCCTATCACGCCATTGAAGGAATCTGATCGAAAACCGGGTGAACCGGACACGAAGTGCTACTAGCTTGGTGCTATGGAAAATCGTTGAGCAAAACGGCTACTCGTCCGGTTATAAAAATCCGTAGCGAAGATCCTGGAAGAAAACTATGGCAGTGAGTGAGTCTTACTCTTCTCAGAGGTAACAAGACCAATAGAACTAATCTTGTATAGTATAAGTACAAATAGAGACGTTAAAACTCTCGCGACGAGTGACACCTACAGGTGCCGTAATGGTTCTACGGGAGTGGCCGGTATAACACTTTTAAGGCTCATTTGCTTTCTTGCGGTTTATTTCGACAATAGAGCCGCTTTTCGAGACTTTTCGTTGCCAACTGATAGATCGGAAAGCACAGGTGTTGTTTTGAAGTTTTAGTCAGGAAAACGTCTATCCTACACTTAGAAGAATACAAAAAACCCTCGATGGACTTTCTACTAAACTCGCGATTGATCGAATAACGCTGTTCCTTGGTGAACAAACAAAAGGTTGTCAATTTATTCTTCATTTATAAACATGCTGACGTTTCGGCCTATTTCGCCTTCCTCAGAGCAGAAAACGTTGGCTTATTTGTAAATAAACCGTAAATTAACAACCTCATGTTTACTTATCAAGAAAACAGTGAATTATACAAAAGCTCACTAGTAGGAAATTTCAGTGCTAATTGACTGCTATAAAAAATGCTGGAATAAAGTTGTAGAACACTCCCAAATGTACGATGTATAGTATAGATGTATAGAGCCAGTGCTGCTATCTTCCCAAACAAACCTGGTACCAATTTGTCGACCCCAAAAGGATGTCGTGGGTCGTAGGCGCGGGAATCGATTCCACGTGTGTGTTGCAGGGGCCCTCCGACCACTGCGCCACACGCGCCCTACGGAAACATTTAGTGTAATAAATAGCACCATAAATATTGCTCATACCAATGGAACGGTAGAGCAAAGTATTTGTTGAAATCCACCAATGTTCGCCACTCATGCAGCCCTCTAGTTATCAAAGAATTATTGCTTATTTTCCGGATGCCAGCATGTCCATAAAGGCTGAAAACTAGGTGTCGTCTAGCCTGCAACAAACCAGAGCTTAAGCATTGGCACCAGAGTGTTAATAGCGCCCGCTTGAGTCACCAACGGCCAACGAGAAGACATGTATACAGGTGATTGGAAAGCGAGCATCGTCTACTTTGTGATGAATTGGAGTTCTTGACCTACTAACTCCATCGATGTTTCTATGTTTTGGTAATGTCGGACCGTCCTTTTTCTTGTGCCACGGTTACTTTAGCAAAAGGTTTAAAATTGCTAAATACCAGATGAGTGAGGATAGCTAGAGATTGTTTGGTGTTCGATGAAACCTCGTCAACGAAAAGCGACATTCATGGTCCAATGGCTGGTGTCATAATGCAGGCACAAAGACCGATACAGAAAAATCCAGGTACAACTTCGAACTATACGTGCACAAGAACTAGCGAATATTCCGCACCTTCTGCAAAAGTCATCACCAGCTTGGTGTTCCGATGAAGCAACCACACGCTGTGAAACATTAGCTGTGTGGAATTTAATCCAGTTGTAATTTCATTTGTTTTGTGTTCGTTTCAGCAAGTGTTTTTTTGGGATACTCCACGATTACCCATCACTGGAAAGCCCATTCTCTGGACTCCCGCTCCATATAAACGAATTACAATATAAATTGTATTTCCGGCAAAGATTTGTTTTCTGTTGTTCAAAGTCAGACTTTCAGATGTGAAAATAACGATTTTGACAACTTTTTTTAGCGTATTCAAACAGGGACCTAAAAAGCGCAAATGGCTCGTAACATTAATGGGGTTTTGGCGCGTAGGAGGTATTAACGAACGCACAGGAGTCTGAAAAAGATTTAAGGCTCAACAGAGCTCGACAAATGAATGCCATACGAATTGGTTGAAACTCAAAAAACAAGAAAATCGCCATTCTGAAGTAACGCCGACGGTTTTTCTGCACAACAAGGATGACGCGTTTCTTAATCGGACTGTGACGTGCGACGGGAAGAGGATTTTGTATGACAACTGACGACGGCTGGCTCAGTGGCGATGATACTCCACAGCACTTCCCTGGCCCTGTATTCCTAAAGGAAGATTGTACTAACCGTTTGATGGTTTACTGATGGTTTAATCAATTAGATTTAAATAAATTCTGGCGAAACCATTACATGGGGAAGTATGTCCATCAAGTTGACGAAAAAGAACAGAAACTTCAAAGTCTGTACTTGGCAGTGCTCAACACGGAGAAACCAGCCTTCTCCACGATAATACTCGGTCACACATCACCCTACTGATGTTTCAAAAGCTCAACGAGCTAGGCTACGAAACTCTGCCCAATCCACTGCACTCGCCGTACTTCCCGACTACCAATTATCACTTGTTCAAGCGTATCAATAACCTTCTGTGCTAGAAGTGCTTCAGAAACCAAAGCTGAAGCTGTAACTGC